TCTCTCTCTCTCTTTCTTGCGTATGTATGAAATATAAGAAAGTTGTGGGTAAGAGATTATCCTTACATTTGTTATAAATATATATTATTGTAGCATATTCATATATATCAATTATTTAAATGTAAGTTTGTTGTCTGATCAGTTGTAACTGTTTGTTTTTAATAATGCGGGAGAGGGCTTTTCATTCTTTTAATGCCCAATCCCTTTGTATCATGTGTATAAACTTCACCTCTACTGTAACGTTGTATTTTTTGTATTCAAGGTTTGTACATGTGTAATGTGCCAAGTGGTTTTTGTTCACATTTGAGTACGTGACATTACTTTCTTGGATTGATCAAGATTTTAAAGGCAGACAACTTCATTACTGTACAAAAGACACACAAGCGAGTAGCACATTTTAATAACTTAGATGTAAAAACAGTAGAGCCAAAGAATGAATTGAAATGCATCATACAAGTGTTTCGTCCTTCTATGACTCGTCAGTGTTGCCAAGGACCTAAATTTGGAACCCCACATGGTTACAAAAGAAACTCTAAAGAGATGGAAATAAAACAAAAAACTAAATGTAGATGGAGAGGTGCAGTATATGATTCAGACGCTGCATAAACAAGAAGACAATCGCCCATCCGGAACACCTGATATCGTATTCTTTCATTACGTTTGTGGTTTGTATACTGAACTCATTCATGGCTTCCTTCACTTGGCATATTATATATGTCTTATATACCCTCATGGAGATTGCAGGTGGTAGACACTAGCGATGGGCTTGAAGTCGTTGCGATTTGCCTTAACCTGAATGCCACGTTTTAATTCATTCGAAAAGTTACACGGTCCAGAAAATATAAACATGTACTCGCCGTAGTTTTAAAATATGGGGCCAGTGCCCCTCCCCATTTACATTTCGACAATTGTTTAGATATATCCAAGTCACCTACTAAGGTTCAAAGTCCAAGCATTTATCATCGCTGACGAGTCCAGCTGTATGATGCAATTAAATTCATGGTTTAGCTCTAAAGTTGTATTAAAAGCTGCTCTGCACTTGAGTGACTTTTGTAAAATCTTTGTGAAAGTTTTTATGGCGGTTTTAATTGTATATTCAAACGATGTTTTATGTTCATGAGATATAGAATATCTTTTGAACTAGTTTATATACTATGCAAACATGATGTTCGGGCTGTTGCAACCCTCCAATCTCCAATGCCATATTATCGAGTGTGGTGCATATAAATATTTTGTATTACTAATTTATTACATAACTAGTAATAGGCTCTCAACACATGTTCCATTTATTGGTATTACCATATAATCTCCTTCTTTTGGTTCCACATAAAATATTCCATGTATATAAAAAAAGTTACTGAGAGGTAAAATCAGTATGATACAAAACGCTTCTGAAGGTAAATGTATTTTCAAAACATTGATTCACGCACGTCGGTTGCGCAGTGGTAACGCGCTCGCCTTTCTTCTTGCTGTCCGATGTTCGATCCCTGGAATGGATGAGAAAATGTATTGGGTCACCTGCCCAAACATTTGGGTTTCCCCCGGGTACTCCGGTGTCCTCTCACAGTAGGACACCTCGCGTGCTTCCATCCGGGCCAACAAGAGTGATTAACATAAGTTGAAAAATAATTGAAATAAACATATTCTATCTATTGATATTTGCATTAAATGAACATAAAACAACAAAAAGGTAATGCCATTGATACTATCTACAAAGTACTGCTACAAAGTAGTGTTATCTGATATATGACGGTTTTATTGTATCATGACATTATCGTATGCTTGTCTACCGATTGTGTTATGTACTTTACCACAACATTTGATGTATAACAGAAGGATTGTATTGGCAGTAAGGTAAGTATTTCTATATTTCTTTGTATGATGAGACAAATATCAATTACTGTATGATTAAATCCTTGCTTTTAACGATTTCACTTTCCGTATATAACAAGAAGATTGTAATAAGCAAGTTGATATCACATTTCATTACAAATTCAAAATGCAATGTAAACACAAAAGAGTCATTTTATAAATTAAACTGCATCGGACAGTTGTTTCGTCCCTCTAAGACCTTACATCACTGACGAATTCTAGAAGGACTAAGTAGCTGTATGATACACTTTAATACATTATGTGGCTCTACTGCGTCTTATTTAGATTTGTATTAAATGGCACTATTCAAATATGTGTTTTTTGTACAGTCTTCTAATGAAATCTAAAACCGAATTCATATGCATTATTCAAACCAATAAAACTCAGTGGTACATGTACAAATATTATACAAAAGGCACAACAGTGAATAACAATTTATAATACAATGCTAGAATTAGACAAAACAGCGCAACATGAAGCACCAAACTGCATCATACAGGTGTTACTTTCTTCTAGGAGTCGTCAATGGTGATAAGGGTCTAGCTTTACCGCGGAGGCGACTGAGAGAAACCAGAATTGATCGAAAGAAATGTCAAAATCTAATCTGGGAGGTGCACAAGCTGAATAGTTTGATTAAAACATATGTTTGGTACATTTCATTTGCATCGGGGTTGGGCACAAGTTATACAACTTATGTAAAGCCCTTTCCCAAAATTTATCTATATTGATGACGTACTGGTTTTTAATAAAAAGAAATTGATTGACCTGCCGGTTTTGTTTTTATCCACCTCATTTGCATTTTGAGATTCACCTTTGTTATTGTAACCTGTACTGTAGGAACACCATTAAGATTTTCTGTAAATTTATTATACCTGCCGGTTTTGTTTTTATCCACCTTATTTGCATTTTGAGATTCATCTTTGTTATTGTAACCTGTACTGTAGGAACACCATAGTGCCAGAGGCAGACCACTCATCACTCTCTGAGGTGTAAAACTATAAGATAGAAAGACTAATTTATGCAGGGTCTAATGTTATTTCGAAAACTGTCAAATTGAAAAATACTTTAAGAATCATCGATCAATTCTAATACGCATGTAATCACTTCTAAGTCATAACTACACGAATTTTCCGTTTTCTTTTCAATCTGTAAACCAGCCAACAATGTTTTCCAAACCGCACAAAAATGCGATCCTGTAGCAGGGTTGTGCGCGCACTAAGTATTGGGTGCGCTGTGCCTTACGAAGACTGTACATAGACACGACACACCACATCACATTCACAAGCGCTGGCTAATGGACTATGTAGTTGAAATCCCATATCCATGAAATATCACATTCACCCTTCCGTCGAGGAGTTTTGTCGCGAAGTTCTCACATGTATAGCCGTCCTCTTGTTGTTATAGCGATACAGTTTTACAACTAGAAATCCCAGTCTCCAACAAGTCTCCAGAGACATAATGCTTCATACGATGTCCAATGACTCTCTACGTGACACTTGTGGCGCTCGTTGGCAGCAAATATAACGTGCACTGGGTATACAAAAACGTTACCCAACTCAGCTATTGGATTATACAACTAAAATACATATATACATAATAATGTGTATATATACGGACCGTCACATTATTTGAAATTGGGTTATATGGTTGGTTTAGTCGTCCTAGGTTGGGCCATTTGGTCACCTTCACCGTGAAGATGTTTACTGTGTAAATTTTCTCTTGTTTTGATAGACTTTGAGTAAAGTATATAATACATATCACATAATTAAAGAAAGGCTGTGTTCCTTGTGTATGCGTTATAATTTCTCGATACAGAAAATCCAGTTCGGGATTATACCGGATAGACATTAGGCTTGTTCAATAGAGATACATCAGGGTAACAAATTTCTTTACAAACTTAAAATTAAATGCAGTAGAACCAAATAATGAAATGCAAAACATCATATAGCTGTTTCGTACTTCTAGGATTCGGCAGTGAAATTAAGTCCTGAACACAAACAAAGAAAATATCGAAAACTATGAACGGTGGTCCTTGAAAATATACAAGAAAAAAGACCAGGTGTTCAGAATGGATAAACGTTTTCTGCTTCATAGCTGACATCCGCTATGTAAATAGCTGTCAATCCAAATGAATTATGACACATTCCCAAATGAAACGAAAACTAAGCAAGGTCAACAATGACAGAACCGGCAGGGAAACTAACGACCAGCAATCACGTCCAACTTCATAACGCACAAGGAAATAAAACAAAATCGAAACGTTATGACTACCATTAAACTTTCCCAGAATCTTCATCAATCTGAATCTTTCCAAACGCTGCATTGTTAGTTCTTTAGTCCAATGTCGATATCTGGAAGGAAAATAGTGATGGCGGAAACAAGCCCAAGAATATCGAATCTACATGAACATTTATATGGTGTAGGTTGGTAATGCAGGTATGATGCGCTCCAGAAGTGGAAAAAATTCACAGTAGAAGAAATTGTTAGAATTTTCCTGGAAGGAAAAGTTCGTAACATGCGGATGATTTGCAATTCTAGGACAGGACTTATTAATATCGTAATTGGTCGAAAAATTTCAGAACATTATAATTGGAGGCTTTCTTATTCCATAATTCAATAAAGATCATACTTTCCAAACACAGGATGGCTTTTAATAAATCTATGTGTATATTCTGTTCTGTGTCACTCTACAATGTCGCGGCTTGCATGTTGCGCCAAACGTCGGATGACGTCTACCAAAAGATTCTACCTTCGGTATTCCCAAAGGCGATGGTATGTTATTGTAAGGATCATTATATTCCGTCCTTTTATTCCTCTGGTAAAGTTTCACATTCCAATGTAATTATGGTGTAAATATGTTAAATGGAAGAAAGTATTTAAGTCTTGTGCGTTCTCGTATCCCATAGAAGATCGTATTTAAGACAGTTCTACAATCCCTACAGTGCATTTGTTTTTGGGTCCTTGCTCGATGTGGCTAGTAAAATTTAGCACATTTCCGTTGATATGAATATGTCCTTCATCTTAACAATAGGTTATTCTCTTTTGGTTCGTTCTATGTTTCAGATTAAAGTTAAGTTGATTCGACACTTACTATCAACGGCATCAGTCTATTCTGTAATTACCGAAGCATGGCGATCCTGAAATTGGAAGATTACGTCGTTCTGGTAGTAACTGTGCTATTGTCTCTCGGAATGGGTTTGTACTATTCCCTTAAAGGTGAGAAATTCAAGACAACAGCTCAATATATCATGGGTGACGGAGACATGGCGATACTCCCTGTTGCATTGTCGCTTCTCGTGTCGTATAAATCGGGAATCATGCTGTGAGGAATTCCTGCTGAGGTTTATATATACGGCATGCAAGTCTTGTTTTTATTCGTGGGCTTTGCTGTTGCCGATTTAGTCTCAATGTACATATTTATTCCTTACCTGAAGAATTTGGAAATGACCAGTATTTTCGAGGTAAGATCTGTAATATTGATACAGCCACAACTTTATCAGGTCTATTTTTCTAACGTTCATGTTTCCAAATGTAAAGCATAAACAGGGTGTTTACTAACGACAATGTATTATGACGTAACTGAACACTGTAATGGATACAAGGAACAGCAGACAACTGTATACGCTAGGTATATGTGGAACCTCGTTTCACGAGTGTCAAACAACATCACTGAATGAATTGTTAACATCTTCATAGAAAGTGTAAATATTTATTAATACCAGAAATATATTATGATATCCTCATTGGTACAATGACCTGAGTTACATCATCATCAGTTTTGTTGATTAACAACTGTTTTCTTTTACAGTATCTTGAGGTGAGGTACCAGTCCCACGTTATAAGACTATTCGGGACTATTCTGAGCATTATTTTTGGGGTATGTCCGAGTGTATAAAGATACAGGAATCATATACATTGATTATCAAAATGTAAAAAAGGTGTGTGGTGCTATGTCTTGATTATCATGATCCTTGAACGTTGTTTTATTTTGATACAGGTGAATTATATGGGAACCGTTTTAGCGATGCCTGCCGTTACTTTAAAGGCCGGTAAGTACGCACCTACGGTTTTGGTATGATTCCTTTTTTCCGTAGCATTATACAGTGCTTCCCAAACCTATTATGCTTAAATGTCGCAGTGATACGTTATAATTATCATCTTTGTTTTCGAACGAGAGGAAAACCTTTTAACTCACAGCAGCGGGTTTCGAGACACGTGCGTTGATGAAAAATTATGGAGAATTCATACGGTCGTGAAAACGATCTCAGTGTGAAATATTTAACATTGTGCATTTTCTTCTGTGTTTTGTTGTTTATTGCTCGTTGATTTGTCTAGTGGTTAAGTTGTTGTATACATAGTTCTCGTTTTGAACGAGACAATACTTACTTAAATTGACCGAAATTTACATTGTGAACGTTGTCTTATTATGGTCTTATTCTCCATGTACTGATTCAGGCAAATTGTTCCTAGTTCATAGTTTGCCATAGTTTCATCGAATTTCAGTTTGAATTAACACTCTGTCAAAATGTAGGTGTTTCCTTCGTTTCTTGGTTAATCATGACCAAGGTTGAGACCGTGCCCCCATTTATTGTGATTGACCTACAATTTCATTGCGGATGTTATCGATGAAGCAGACGTCTTTCCAGACTGTGTGGACCTTTTCTCACTGTGCTCATTAAATTTAGACTTTATAAATGTATTAATATATTTTTATTGTTTTTCTGTCATATTACTACAGCTTAATCATACTATACATTATCAACATAGGCTGAAGTTATTGCGCGACTATCACAATGTTGATTTTAGTTGCTTTGTTCTCTACCAAGTCTACATTGGTGCTTGTCACTGACGTTTCAGCCCATGCTCCATTATTTTTTATTCACAGTTGCTGGCTTAGACATCTGGTGGTCTATCGTCTCTCTTATGGCTGTTGTACTGATATACACATTAATTGTAAGTCACTAATGCAATATTAAGAAGGCTGTGAAAGTTTGGGTATTAATTATCTTTGATGGAGCCAGTCGTTCTATTACATAAATCAACACATTTACCATTATCAGATTAATGGATTTCCTCATTTACCAAGACTTTTATCTTAATTAGTTCAATGGCAGTAATCATTAAATAACTTTGTTATACCTATGGCATGATTTAAAATGTGTTCCTGTTTTTTACTACCCCTTATATGCCTGTCTCATCAGAGTGATTACAACAGCAGAGTATGTACGCTCGATGTACATGAAGCAGCACCCTTGTCATTTCCTTAAAGTTAACTTTTCTTTTATATAATCTGTTATGAAGAAAGGTATAGTAAAATAACGATCGAATGGTTCGCTAATTTAAGTGGTATTGAATTCGACAACCAAAATGTTTTCTTATTCTATTACATGATTTGTAATTAAAGGGAGGTTTCAAGGCCGTCATTTATTCTGACGTAATTCAAGCCGCTTTGATGTTTGGTGGGATGTTTGCAGTCATTATCAAGGTAACTGACCTGTAATGTATGATATCTAATGTAACTTACATGGTCGATTACATTTGGTATTTTTCCATTTTCGTAACTGTATCGTACTTTGATGGACGACTAACTATACTTTTTGACTAATATAATTCATTTGATAATTTCTCTTCCGTGTTTTCGATCACCAGGGTACAATGGATGCCGGTGGATTAGCTTCGACGTGGCAAAAAGTGTACGAAACGGGTCGCCTTAACTTTTTTGTGTAAGTTAGTCGTCTATTAGATTTGATTTGATTTGTTTATTTTCTTTAAGATAAGTTTTCTTTACTACTGCTTAGAACAGAAAAGTCTTAATTGTTCTAGAGATACTTGCAGAAAAACATAATTAAGCAGATCAGTGTCAAAGTGTCGCTGGTTTCAGAAATCACAAATTTTATGTTAAGCTTTTCACAGAAAAAATAAAGCAAAGTCAAGGCGGGAAGCTTATTTGGAGAAATCACCAGACCTTGCAACGCCTTGCAATACCTAACTGAGGTGATTTGTGTTTCTCAGGAAGGTCGAGTCAGAATATACTAGCCAATATGTATGGGAACTTCTGTGGAAGCATCTACAGCTTAGATTTGTTTATACAAACACACATACAAATGACAGTTAAATAATACTAACTGTAATTATATAATAAGTTATATCAATTGCTTTTATTTAGATTTGATGTCGATCCTACAGTTCGGCAGTCCTTCTGGAGTGTGTTTGTTGGCGGTTTTATACTGGGTCTGATGAGACCTTTCATGCAAACATCCTTTCTCCGGATTAAAGCGACTCCAAATATACAAACAACTCAAAGGTTTGAATATGTTTCGGACAAACTGTTAAAACCTAAATGACAGTTAACAATATACTACTGTCTCTTCGTATTTAAACATTTCTTTCTTGGATGTGTTTGGTATCTTTCAAGTGTGTCCTTATGATATCTGTAAAGCCGGGCGATACATTATTTCATATTTTACCACTGCATGGCTCGTGACAGTTGGGATCTACTTTCATATTAATAACATGCCAAAATGCTACAAATATAATGTAATAACTCATAGCTTTTTGACTCCAGGAATATAGAATGCAAACAATGCTTATTCAAATTTATGACACTTGTCGGAGTGCAAAATTATTTTGCCATTATTTTGATGCCGTCATCATGGCATGGAATAAGTGCCCCGTGGCTGTTCCATTCATAAAGCCAACATTTAATACGTACATGTGTATGTTATTTGAAATTTTAAAAACTCACAAATATTCAAGATTCGAATGAGTAACCCTATGTTATGTAAATGACGATTGAACTCGAAACGGTAATACCACTATTAAACTGCAGCACTATGTATTGAATAGTGTCGCTTCTATGCTTTATACCTTAATTCATAAACACAGCATTATCTATATTTATGTTCTTCGTTTTATAATTTCTGGGGAAACATAACCTAAAGTGAAAATACCAATGTATAAATATATATGTATTCTAAACATTAATAATTACTTTCAGAATGTATCTCGTCTCCGCCATACTTTCGCTGGTGATACCAATATTGACAACGGTGGGTGGGGCCATTATGTTCGCTTACTACAACCAGAAAGGATGTGACCCCTTACTTTCCAAACAGTTGGACAACTCAAATCAGGTTATAACATGTCATAAATGTAGGGGAATGTTAACAGTTGCTCGTTAAGAAATATTCTGTTTCTTTGTGCGCTATTAGCTGGATGTGTTTGATGCTCCTTAGTTTGCCTGTTTGTTCCGTTGTTCTATACCTTGTTGTCCTTACTTACTCGTGTTGGACAAGATTTACATGACGCTTACTTTTCCGGAATACCTGTTTTTATTTTATTATTTTGTCGTGAGTATCCTTGTAAACTTTGTTTTGTTGAATTTGAGTTTGGATTAAGATTATGTTTACATGTTAGTAATTTCCCCCCGATTTTTATAAAGAATCCCAGTATCGAAATTCGTATTCCAACAATTATTACGTCAGGTCTTGTTATTCCATCGATATCGTTCATCAACATTTTGAAATAAATCTGACATCCGATAAGTCGTTCTATTAATACGTTGATATCTTTTTTTCTCGAGGGATTTGTTTTTGTTCTAGTTTGTTTTCCTAGAGATATTCAAATGTAGTTTTCTTTTGTGAAATTACTTACACCTAGTATGAGACTGAGCTTAACATGAGTTAACATCAAAATACCGGTATTCATGCTATTGTAGTGCTTATTATAAAAACATTTTAAGTAAAGTAAGAAACATCTAATTATCGTAGTAATCTACATTACCTTATTTAATTCGAGCATTCGAATATTGTATTGGAAAATGACAGAAATTGTGTCGTCGAATGAAATAGCTTGATAGTGATTTAATCGATTTTGCATAGCGTCATGTCGAGTAAAGTAAAGTAGATTGATATAACTGGAAATGTGTGAAACATTGTGCTACCTGTCGACACAAGTAATGCTACAATAATTAATAAACCAAATTTAACAATATCGTTACTAGTTGATGCCTGCCATGGTGACAGAGATATTTCAAGATATGCCGTTCCTACCGGGTCTATTCCTGTCTTCTTTGTTTAGTGCCTCTCTCAGGTGAGATATGTTGGTGTTTTCATGATTTTTCCCTACTTATCTCTTCCTGTTTACTCGGATTAGTGACACTCTCAGATTAGGAATGTTCTACCTACCTCTTCCTGTTTTCTCGGATTAGTGACACTCTCAGGACAGATATGTATACCCACCTCTTCTTGTCATCTTGGATTAGTGACACTCTAAAGTCATATATGTCCTACCGACCTCTTCCTATTTTTTTCGGATTAGTGACACTCTCAGATCAGGAATGTTCTACCTACCTCTTCCTGTTTTCTCGGATTAGTGAAACTCTCAGAACAGATATGTATACCCATCTCTTCTTGTCATCTTGGATTAGTGACACTCTAAAGTCATATATGTCCTACCCACCTCTTCCTGTTTACTCGGATTAGTGACACTCTCAGATCAGGAATGTTCTACCTACCTCTTCCTGTTTTCTCGGATTAGTGACACTCTCAGGACAGATATGTATACCCACCTCTTCTTGTCATCTTGGATTAGTGGCACTCTCAAGTCACATATGTCCTACCCACCTCTTCCTGTCTTCTCGAATTAGTGACACTCTCAGGACAGATATGTATACCCACCTCTTCCTGTTTTCTCGGATTAGTGACACTCTCAGGACAGATATGTATACCCACCTCTTCCTGTTTTCTCGGATTAGTGACACTCTCAGGACAGATATGTATACCCACCTCTTCCTGTTTTCTCGGATTAGCGATACTCTCAGGTCAGGAATGTCCTACCCACCTCTTCCTGTCTTCTCGAATTAATGACACTCTCAGGTCAGGAATGTCCTACTTATCTCTTCCTGTTTTCTCGGTTCAGTGTCCCTCTCAGGTGAGATACGTATACCTACCTGCTTTGCCTTCACTATTTAGTGCCTCTCGTAAAGATAAACTAACCTGTATTTTATTTTCCAAATCAAAAAGACAGTTACTGGTATTTCACCTTGGCTTCCGCAAGGTTATTTATCTAGATTAATAAATATAGTAAATATCCCTCAATTTGAATGTCTTTCGTACAATATTTGAGATTGCATTTGTTAGACATCCCAGATGAATTCTGTATACATTCTCATTGTCAAAGATTATTTGAATACTGGCATATCTCAGAAATAATTCGCTGTGTGTCTGATTTACATTTACCAGATACATGAATACATGAAGCTTTGTTTCTTATTTCAATAATGAACCTTCAGAAAGACATTCAAAGCGTTTTTGTTTATTCTTTTTATACGAAATTACATTTAGGTGAAATTATTTTAATTGTGACACTTGTCTTTTGAATAAATCATCTTTACATTTGATATATAAAAGAATGAAAACTAATGCATAAATTAACGTTTGTTATATAGAAACAACTGGTGTCTCTACATTGTACGTTGGTTCTACAGAATACATTAATTATGTATATGTATCTACATTTCCTATCTCATATATGATTTGAACTGTCAACTGGTTATATTTAGAAATATCATTTTCATTGTGACATGCTGAGGTCATTCATTCTATTATGCGCAATCCAATAATACAGATGTAAATATTTCAATGCATGTACAAGTTTGATAAAAGTACAAATCGCTCCATGTTGCAATCTTCTGCAATATTGAAGAGGAAACGATAACTGTTGTCTCATGATAGTCAGTGGCATTTAGATAATGATATAGATGCGCTTTATGTAGGTCTACATGAACCCTTATTTGGAATGTGAAATGGTTTTAATATTCCTTGTTAACAATAGCAATATAATCAGAACTCTTGACTTTTATATTGTTCCTTTCGTTGAAACAAATTTATTGGATTTATGCTGTTTTGTTTCGTTTCTAACGTTCAAGATAAATGCAAAATTCCATTCATGATGTTTTCTTTTGACAAATCTGCAACCTTGACGTTTTTGTTCGCTATTTCGTACTTAAATCAATGATGATGGCCTGATGCCATCCCAGCATGTCACCATGAATATGATAGTTACAACAAAAACAAACTTATATAACGCTACCAATGCAATGAAATTTACACACAATACTTAAATGTCTATCTCCTGCATTGAAGTACCCTATAATTCTGTAAACGAGTCCAACCCTCAGATTTATTTACCGAAAATGTACATCTGTGTCAAATGACAATATTGTCCAGTTTATGAAGCCGTATTTTGGCATGACGATATTGTGTTTGTCAAACAGCCACTCGGCTATATTTCTGTATTTAATAGACTTGATATATTTCAGTACATTGTCGTCGGTACGAAGCATATGTTTTGCTCTATTGATGTACTTTTGTAAGACCATTCCTTATATATTTCAGTACACTGTCGTCAATATTAAGTAGCTGTTCGGCTGTTTTTTGGGAAGATATCGTCAGACCACACACCAAAGCGATGTCCGAAAGACGAGGCATTGTTATTACTAAACTCGCAGGTTAATTGTTTCTGTTGTGTCATTCTTTCATTCCCCTTTACTCCTTTTCTCTTTCTTACAGTACAAATACAATATAAGCGGGGCGTGTTAGAGATGAAGCAGAGGCATACCTTTTAGAACTTTTTGTCCTTGTAATTTTTTATGAGGACGGGGAGGGGTAGAGATGGTTTGGGTTTTCTACGTGTAAATCTGTCATCATGTTCTGAACCATTTACAGGGAATATGAGCTTACGCGAGTATTCAATTGACTTGTCGGTATTTTCTTTGTTGTTATCATTCCATTATACTCGTTTCTAACCCACATTTTCTTAACTTCTCACTTATATATCCTTTCTTATATTCCTACTTACATATATCCTTTCACAGAGTTTCTTTGTTTCTCATCTACCTGGTCATGTCTTCCAGTTGACACATAGATTAACTTTAACTTTTATAAAGATTTTGAGCTGAATTAACGAACTAGACCAATGTAAACTGGCAGCAACGCAATTTGTCTAAGCTGTACACGGGAAGACTTTCAACATAGTTTAACTTTTGTGTTATTCGTAATAAGGGCGAAACTATCAGACGTGCGTATTTTTAATGTTACAGTTTAAATATTTGTTTGCATTCACATACGAGCAAAATTAACAATTAACCTTTTCATACAAAATGAGTTTTTCCATAGCCAGTAAATACCATGGTTTTTTCATCTTATTAATTTTTTTTCCTGTTTTAGAAAGGTTATTATTATTATTATTATTATTAATAGTAGTAGTAGTAGTAGTAGAACAATTTTAGAAGTTTTAGAATTAACAGTACGTAAATAGGTACGAAATTAATACAAATTAAATACAAAAGGTGCTTATTAATTATTTCAAAATGGTCTTATTCAGTTTTAGGATTTGGCATTAGTGGAGTGGCCGTTGCTATTCTTGTCTCCCATACGGAAGGTCCTGTCATCCAGGTGGGTATAAAACGTGTGAACCTGTGCATGTCTGTTGACGTAGGCAACAATTCGCAGTCACCAAATTAGACAAATAAACGCCCAATTACGGACAAACATAGACAATTATTGTCTGTGTAATTGTTTCATGTTTAATCATCCTTAATGTAAAGGAAAAGGATCATAGCATATCTAACCACATACAGATAAAAGTGTTCCGAGGGTACACGTGACCATGTTGTTAAAACACCCTCATGTAAACATAATTACCGTTTAAATTCAAATCCGGTGAAACGAAAGCAATGTATGAAGCAAAGAAACGTTTACATGTTAACTGCAAGGAGATATATTGTTCCCGAAAGGTTAATACCATCTGCTTCACTGACAACATCCACCACATAAATCTTGGTCAATCTATTTGAGTGATGTCACGTTCCAAAGGTCAAAATTATGGAAATATCAGACATAGCTAGCAAGCATTAGCCACGTCAAAATCCATAACTTACACGGATAGGACACATTTCCCACTGAGAGCCTTGTGATCACCATGATGGTTTCATAGTTTACATGTCAGCTGTCGACATCTTATCAAGTTACCCTTGAATATCGGATCAAATACGAAAATTAAATAAATTAAATCTGTTTTGAAATGTTACTCTTCAGAAATGGAAAATCGAAATCCTCATGGCCATATTTGTTTCCAAAGATCGTTGTACGATGTTAATGTAGGTAATGATGAAATTGTTTTTCGTTAAAGTTAAGTAAATACAAATAGGGAAATACGATAGTATCCTGTGCCTGTTTATTGTTTTGCTTTAGATGTCTCGTATCAACAGATGTATAAAAATAACAGAATAGATTTAATGAAACAAGTACAAGCATCATTAAATTATAAACGTTTAAAGACGCAAAAACAAGAAAAAAAATCCTCACGTTTTGATATGAAATATTGGCAGATATTTGACAGTTACATTTTGTATGTATAGTGTTTTATCTTTATAGATATTCTCTACAACATCTGGTATGATAATTGGTACAATGGGAGGAATCTTCATTCTTGGCTGGACTATACCTTGGGCAAATAAATTCGTACGTACACAACCTCTCTTACTTTCTATTGCCTTTTCGTATACAATTTAATGTCCTTTTTTAATTAGTTATACAAAGCTGTTTCTTTTCTATTCTAATTAATACCGAATAAACATAAACCATTCAAAGTTTATTATTTGTTCACCTGTTCACTTTTTGCCCAACCTTTGGTCCATCCTAAAAACGTTTTGTGATCATGACAGTAAATGTTGACCTGTAAATCACACATGAATGGCACGTGCCAGTAATAACGACTAATTATAAAACTATAATGCGATATTATGGCGACCATTTGTAATATTCTTAGGGAGCTCTGATTGGAGGCGCGACCAGCGTGCTGTTGGTTGGATGGATCACTGTGGGCAAAATGACTTCATCTGCATTAAAAAGCAGCCCAAAATTAGAACCCGCTTCCATACAAAACTGTCCGATCATCAATATTTCTTCTTACCAATCATACACCAACGCCTATACAGCCGTTCAACTTAATAGCACAAATGTTTCTGCAACTGACCTAACATTGGGATCGAAGGATAGCATGGACGGACCGTGAGTGACACAAATTTTCCAGTAACAGCCAGTTATGGTTTTTTTTAAAGCATGATTTGCTACAGACATAGATTTGTGTGAGAGCATGAGAAAGCTGTGTAAGTGTCCACTTGGTTTCTGTTTTGTTTCGAATCGATGTTTCTCAAATGTACACATTTTGACGCTTTAAAGGTAAACAATAATCATATCTTGTTTAATTCCACAAGGAAACTACGGGGCAATTTTGAAGAACATTTTAGCATGCCATTGAAATTTGCCACTTTCTTATAATCGGCTAACTGTTGTCCAGTCAGAAAACTGCACTCATTAGATTCTTCAAATGTAAATTCATATTTAAAACAACTTAATCATACACATGTAGTAAGTCAAATTAGGCAGAAAAAATTAGGAAAGTAACCGAATACTGGGATGTGGTTTCATATTCTTCAGAGGGAAGATGTGCAACTCTAAAATCTTATTTTCTCGCCTGTTATTGTTGAAAGAGTATATATTTTGTTGCGTGTTGATCCTCCGACCACACTCAGAAGTGAATACCTGTTTAATTGTCGATATGAATGTTTAAATGTTCTTTTAAGGCATGGTGTGGATGTGCTGTATTCACTATCTTTTCGCTGGCTTGGACCGATGTCCATCCTCATCGTGATCCTAATTGGTGCTATCGCTAGCCGTATGTCAGGTAAATCCTTCCGCCTGATATTGCCTTTATCATGTCCATTACTGGGGTATTGGAATTGGTTTCATCTGATTATGCTTGTTAACCTGAAATTTGTTATAAAGTTTTGCCCTTCAGCACTGCAATATAACATAATCCGATAATCAAGACTACAATTTATACACAATTGCTGGATTGAATGACACTTAATCACAGTCTAGAGTATTTTTCTGCTTCTTCCTCATTTACAGATATTATATTCTATTATGACTTTTTGACACTCATTCACAGTACATTTAGACATAAGATGGCATTTACATATAATATTTACAGAAAGGCCGACTGTTGCGCCAGGACTAGTTGTACCCATTGGTGAACTTATCTGTGGCTGTTGTCCTTGGCAGAAGATGGAAAATGTCCATTGTAGTGTGAAATATCACAAATCAACAACTGTAAGTAGGTTTCGTAGTTGGAGATACCAAGTCTAACAATGCTTTATGATAAAAATCTAAACGTAAAATTAGTTTGTTTTAGTGGAAAGGCTGATGAAATGTTCTTTCATAAAATAATCCTCCAAAAAATCGTCATGTTAAGAAATTTGTCGTTTTCAATTACAATACGCATGGCCATGTTTTTAATAATGCAATCATATACTAAAGGTATATCAATTTGTAGACGAATCTGGATGAACCGGAGACGCGACACAAAATGAGAGACGTTGGCATGAGTGAGTTTCCGGTTTAATTAGAGAAGCTAATTACAATAAATTATGTTAAGGTTGTTTTCATTAATTAAGACATGTATTGGAAATATACAATTAGCAATCGGAAAACAGATTTATCTCATGTTTACTTCATATCATTGGAGCTGAATAAAACTCTGTATAATTTTTCAGTACCTATCAAACGTAGACTATTCAAAATCATTTACATTTAATTTGACGTTGAGTAATTAAATTATCAAACCATAGTTTTATTATTGATTTGTTTTTCACATTGCACATAAATGGAATATGAAAGTTACCGTTTGGGATGTTTCTACTTTCCCAGCCTTACTAATCCAAAAAGCACCTGCAAGATTAAAGAGTAGCATATAACAAGTGAAAATTCATGTCATGTTTTGTAAGCCTGAGCAGATAGTATGAGCCATTCAAAACTTACTATAATGGTTTAAGAATGATCTTTCTGGCATAATGTAAAGAGTATGTAATGAATATTATAATTCGTAGTTTAAGAATCGCAAATGCAGAATTATGCCAAGGATCATTCGTCACTACAATCACTATATGGAAGAAATGACTACTTTCGTTTAAACTAATTTTGCAAATGATACTTACCTCCATGTGAAAACAGATTACCACCAACCTCGGGTTGAACAAACCTGTTAATACGGACCTTATAACATACGTGAACGCACTACCGTCTGGGATATGAACTTTAGTCCTCAAAAGTCTGAATAAGTTTTCTGCTATCCTTCTTTAAACATGATGAAATGTTCTTTCATAAAATAATCCCCCAAAAAATCGTCATGTTAAGAAATTTGTCGTTTTCAATTACAATACGCATGGCCATGTTTTTAATAATGCAACCATATACTAAAGGTATATCAATTTGTAGACGAATCTGGATGAACCGGAGACGCGACACAACATGAGAGACGTTGGCATAAGTGAGTTTCCGGTTTAGTTAGAGAAGCTAATTACAATAAATTATGTTAAGGTTGTTTTCATTAATTAAGACATGTACTGGAAATATACAATTAGCAATCGGAAAACAGATTTATCTCGTGTTTACTTCATATCATTGGAGCTGAATAAACCCGTGATATGAACTTTAGTCCTCAAAAGTCTGAATCAGTTTTCTTTTTTTCTTCTTTAAACAAACAAAACACTAATCATTCATCAACGTATCACATCACACTTTCATTTCAAAATATGCAACACGACAAAAACACATGTGGTAAAAGCTTACAATAGACTCATGTCCAAAGGTAATCAGGAGAATGTCATCAGTCAAAATTTAGGATGAATCTCCAGGAATATGAGTATATAGTCTGTAATTGTTTTACATATCAGTCCAAAAATCTGCCTTACGAGGTGGCTAGAATTAGGACAGGGACAAAACGTTATCAATATTTCTTCATCTGTTATTGATATATATATATATGTACACTGAGTATACATGTATGTGCATTAGGTCTGGCAAAGTGTGAGAGTTACATACTTTAATGTCTTACGTATGACTTACCTCCCTTTACTCAGTGTTTCTTTACAATTTACCTAAAACATAATTTTGAATCTAGTACCGTGTAAGTAATGGTGTGTTCTACGCCACTGTGTTGCCTGTTTTTCAACGTTGACTATTCTTTCAGAGTTGTCCTTTGTCAATGTATCCTGAGCAGGAGGGGGTAACGTTAAAATTACATAATGGGATCGGTGACGAGGCAGAAGAAGCTTACCCTGATCTTTATCGCTTTGTACTTTTTCAGGAGTGACCGCATAAAGCATAGTTCTGTTGAAATTTCGGTATTTTAGACGATTTTATGTGGTTCAAGGAATTTTATTTCCCGTTAAACTAATAATGACAACCGTAAGTCATCATCCTATTCATTTGTCGTGATCCTGTTTTGTAAATTGCTCTGTAAACTCTTGGCATCTTTCATGGACTTGTGATATTGGGACCAGGATCTTGTGTATTAACAGTGACATGAAAACATCACAAGGAAACAGAGTAGTTATTATTCCAAGAATAACAAACACTTATCGATTCTCATTCATTGGCACTCTTTTTTGATAAAAGAAAAGTTCGTAAATAAAGTTTTCAATAATTGCTGTTTGTGTAAAAGAGAAAAAATCTTTTTGAAAGAAACTAAATACCAAATCGTTTAATCTCATCGCGAACACAGGTTTGTTACTATATAGAAATAAAAAAAAATCATTAACGATAGGTAAATCGATATAATCCCGCTTAAGACACAGCTTTCTTAGTTGTATATTGTAAGTAAAGACGACCGCTCACTATCTTTTTAAATCTAATATATCGTATATCAACAAAATCAACAAAACATTTAAGTATTGGGCAATATCAGCGCCATACAAACCTAATAGATTTTTTGTGTTAGACAAACAAATGTTTGTTAACATTGTTTACGCTGTAATGAACCGCTCTCTTTATTAACACAAATTGCTCTCGGCGATAGTCAATAAGTGGCCTACAGTTCAATACGTAACCGTGATGTCTTCGGAGTGTTGAAGGAGTGTGTCTACATTGTCTACACTGATAAAGGCACTCTGTTTGAAGAGCCATTACATTTGGTACAATGAGAAATCGAGTCAGATATATTCTTCTTAAAAGGACGACCAAACAAAATAAAATAGTAAAATATTTCGCAATGAAATGATGACAACCAGGAAACCTTCCTGTACAAAGGCCATTCGATACATTTTTTTCATTTTTGTTATAGATAAATTGTTAGTTATTATTTTATTGAAGTTACTCAAGTGTTCCCCTTGGCAGAAGAACAATTTCACAATCACGTTTTGGTATACAGACGAGACATTGGCATATCACAGCAAATATTGAAATGTAGGGAAATACACAGAAAAAGCATTTTCACAAGTAATGAAGTAAGGGCTTCGGTCAAAAAGACATCGTGTGGAATTTCGTTTTCGTGAAGCTTTGTCTCTAATATGCTGCATGGAATTCGGTCATTTTTGGTTCATCTTCATGCGAATTACTTTTATTGTTTCCACATCTATGCATTGTATTTAACTACTACAGCATTGTTTATCACTCGATTAACTAAAAAAAATGGCGCTTTTAAAACCGGGATATTGATAAGGTAATTATGTTCTCTCACGGATAATAACCTGCTGTTGTATTGTCTGTTTATATTCTGTAGCCCCTCGTGGTATTCAACTACAAGTATATCTGTTAACCATGTTCAGGGTTTCCTGTCTCTCCTGAATAAAGGTAACAGCCATGTATTAATCAAGTTTGACACATAACATGCTGGATATTCAAGGGGTTTACTATGACGGAGAAGTCACATCCTGTTCAACAGTATCATATCCAAATTTGCTCTGCTCCATATATGGTATTTTTTAGTTTTTGTTTTATAATAGAACCTTCTAATGAAATAAAGCATTGAAACATGTGACTTAAGAAAGAAAAAGTTTACCTGAGTAGGTTATTTCATCGTCTGGCAACATTTATTTAGACATTTAAGGGAAAGTAACGATAAAATTGCTACCTATAGCTTACCCAGCAACCGTCTGAATATTTCTGGTGTGAATAATGATTAGAGTATAGAAATAAAAGTGTTCAAACATTGTTACAACCAATAAAACAGCAGTAGATTGTTAGTTCCGTTTGACAATATCGCATATTAGAGCTTAAAGTGTCGAAATAAAATGCGATCACAATGAAAAACAGGTCGATAATTTTACTTAAAAATTTATTTAAGTTATAGAATAATATTGTTATCCGCGAGAATAAAGATCATCGTCGGTTCATCATAGAGAATGTAGATAGATTGTAATTTCACACATATATGACATTAACAAATAGTCTGTGAACTAAGAAGACTTCCTTATTGTAAGGTCACAGCGACTACAGTAGCATGTTGCGTTGGACATAGCTCAAGTCGTTTGAACCGTTGGAACACCGAATTTAAGTTACACATCAAATTCTTAAATTTGCGGTATCATTTATTAATTTGAATCATGTTAACTTTCAATATACTGAATGACTGGTAAATAAGATAGACGCCAAATAAATCGTAATACCGGTGGACGTTCAGAAAACTGAATAAAAGGTTAGCACAGTGGATGTTCGGAATACTGAATGAAAGGTTACCGAATTGGACGTTCGGATTACTGAATGAAAGGTTACCGAATTGGACATTCTGAATACTGAATGAAAGGTTACCGAATTGGACGTTCGGAATACTGAATGAAAGGTTACCGAATTGGACGTTCGGAATACTGAATGAAAAGTTATCGTAATGGACTTCCGGAGTATTGAATGAAAGTTAATTATGATAGATGTTTGGAATACTGAATGAAATGTTAACATAATGGACTTTCGGAATACTTCATGAAAGGTTATCATAGTGGATGTTGGAGTAATGAATGAAAGGTTAGTATAGCGGATGTATTGAATGAAAGTATATCATGATAGACGCTCGGAATACTGAATGGAATGTTACCATAATGTACTTTCGGAATACTGGATGAAAGGTTACCGGATTGGACGTTCGGAGTACTGAATGAAAGGGTAACATAGTGAATGTTTGGGATACTGAATGAAAGGTTACCATAATGTGCGTTCGGAATACTGAATGAAAGGTTACCATAATGTGCGTTCGGAATACTGAATCAAAGATTATTATGATAGACGTTCGGAGTACTGAATAAAACGATAGCGTAATGAATATTCGGAATACTTTGACGTTCGGAGTATGAAATGAAATGTTATAATCAATGTTCGGAATACTGAATGAAACGTTATGGTGTTAGACCTACGGTGTACTATATAAAAGGTTTGGAAATTGAATAAACAACGATCAACGGTAACAACAAGAACAAGACGTTGGAAGGCAAGTAGGGGAATGTAGACTGATATTGTCACTGAATCAGCTTTCTATATCGCGGTCTCCAAGAAACTCCCTCGCTCACAGATCAATTCTCTTCTTTGTAGTCCTACCAAATTTCCTGTCGAGCAATAGCAAGATATCTTCATCTAATGCAGACCTTACTTCAATGAAAATATAGATGATTTTGATATTATGTGTGCAAAACATCATATGTATTTCTGTCTCCTTTCATTTACCAATTCATACATCCTTTTAAATCTTTCCGTCTGGGTTTTTTCCGGATACTCCAGTTTCTGTGTGAATACGTTTAAGAAATTAGACAATCATACATTCTAAATTAATACTTAACTAACCCTTGTCCTATGTAAATGCATGAAAAGTGGATTTCTGTCGAATCGGTTTCGCCTCGTGTTTTCTAAAACGACACTGATAAGACCAAATTAGACCTGTTGCCATTAACTCCTTTTGTTACGTTGATCATTCTTTCCTGGCTGCTCACTCATTGCTTAGTTTTCTAATATTGGTGTTCCTTCTGACACCAGTTATGTAACAATAGCTGTTGAGAGGACGTCAATAAAGCCGGTAAAGACAAACCCACACGCTCCTAGACCTTTTACTAGATGCAATATAAAAAGTTTAATCTAATGACAGCATTTTTCAGAAAAAAATGAAAATCTTGTAGCATACTTAACAATCGTGTATAAGATCCGGATACGAAGCTCGGAACTACTCGGAACATTAGTATTTAATTGTGATTTCGTCTTCCACCACGTTTGTACTAGACTTTTAGAAATAAAAAAAATGAGTAAGTTTCATTTATTAGTAAAGAGTAGGAAAGTGTAATATATCTTAATTTTACGCATCTCTAAAGTTGGGATGAAAATAGTTCTCGCTTTTATATTTTACATTTGTAACGTGTAGATAGATTTATGTTACAAGACCTCCTCAGCAGGTGACAGCAAATTGATACATAAACATTATCTATATTGAGACCAGAATGTCGGTACATGGCAGTTCAGTGTGCTTCAATTCGAGGTCGACATCCTGGTAGTCTTCCTCGGGACTATATACACGTCAGTGAAATATGATTAATTGACTTTAACATCTGCAGTACTAAATACATAAATATACATGCACATAAAACACCACCGTTGGACATTCCTCACATTGATGTAACAGTACATGTACTTAATGGACATTTAGAATGGACGATACTTAATTTGGATGAAAATTTTGAAGAGAATTTCTGAGAGTGTTCGGATCACTGAGTCTGGTAAGTGGTTGAACGCAACATCTTGTCAACATTTATCTCTAACGCCATTTCGTTAAACAATATAAATATTATATGAACATGTATTAAGTACACGCTTACACAGCAAAACTGCTTTATTTAGTAGTGACATTAGCGCATTGCCTCAGAGGTCCTAGCTGTCAAATTACGCTGTCCCCCGGCTTAGCTTGGGGCGACAGAATTACCCAATATAATTCACGCTATTGAGTCATTACACGAACCTGAGGAGTATGTCGTTATCATTACGGATTTCCGTTTGGCCTGCAGACATTCAACACAGGTCCACAGTATGAATATAGGCGAAGCTGGAAATCACCTAACATAAGTTACCTGTACTGGAGTCCTAACAATAATGGGCAGGTCACACGGAACTAATAAGTACCAACTACTGGGACGTGCAAAACCGACAGGTAAAAACAAACGAAGACACAGCAAGATATTCGACAGGAGGTAAGTCCTTTATTTAAAGTAATGTGTATTTAATGTTTAGTGTACAGTTCTAATACTTGGCATCTGTCGTCTATCAATCCTGTAACGTGTAATTGTAACCACAATCCAATCGCCAAGAAACAATAATAAACGAGATAATATCGTAGTAAATGCAAACTTATCTGTGGATAAAATGTACACTCCTTGTCTAGGTTTCCAATAACTTTGTAAGATTGTCTACATGTGACTGTCACGTGTATATACAGACGATATTACTAAACGTGTCACGGGAAAGCTTCCTACTCTCCAACAATATCACTAGAAAAGTTCAACACGTGAATCCCTATTACACTCATTTGATGTCGTTTCTGCTTCACACTGATCCTCCTCATTGGGTTCAACATAATTTCCCTTTCTTGTGTCTTTTCATTCCTGCGTAGATTCCCATCTATATCCCTTTGAATATCCTGCCCCTACAAAGTAATACATCCGATCTGGGTAACCTCTCTGTCCCTTTCTCTTCTCTTTATAGAGCTCTGATCGATTGACCTATGATTGACTGTCTAAGAACATCTCCGTCAACGTCAGCATCCCCGACTCTGTATAACATTTCTCTCGTCGCCCTTCCCTATACAAGGTCAGCATCCCCGACTCTGTGTAACATTTCTCTCGTCGCCCCTCCCTATACAAGGTCAGCATCCCCGACTCTGTATAACATTTCTCTCGTCGTCCCCTTTCTCTACAACGACAGCATCACCCACTCTGTATAACATTTCTCTCGTCGTCCCCTTTCTCTACAACGTCAGCATCACCCACTCTGTATAACATTTCTCTCGTCGTCCCCTTTCTCTACAACGTCAGCATCCCCGACTCTGTATAACATTTCTCTCGTCGTCCCCTTTCTCTACAACGTCAGCATCCCCGACTCTGTATAACATTTCTCTCGTCGTCCCCTTTCTCTACAACGTCAGCATCACCCACTCTGTATAACATTTCTCTCGTCGTCCCCTTTCTCTACAACGTCAGCATCACCCACTCTGTATAACATTTCTCTCGTCGTCCCCTTTCTCTACAACGTCAGCATCCCCGACTCTGTATAACATTTCTCTCGTCGTCCCCTTTCTCTACAACGTCAGCATCCCCGACTCTGTATAACATTTCTCTCGTCGTCCCCTTTCTCTACAACGTCAGCATCACCCACTCTGTATAACATTTCTCTCGTCGTCCCCTTTCTCTACAACGTCAGCATCCCCGACTCTGTATAACATTTCACTCGTCGTCCCCTTTCTCTACAACGTCAGCATCCCCGACTCTGTATAACATTTCTCTCGTCGTCCCCTTTCTCTACAACGTCAGCATCACCCACTCTGTATAACATTTCACTCGTCGCCCTCTCCCTCTACAACGTCACAATTTCCCTCCCTTTCGTCCCCATTAAATTTAAATCCTATTGTACATTCAATACCTCTGCTCATTACAGAAACGCAAACGTTCATAAATCAGTAGACATCGCTATTATTTAAAAGTTCGTTATCGATTTTGTTTTGGCTTTAAATCATTGAATCAGGATGTGCTCTGCTCTTTAAGATTTGAAACTGTGTAATTAATTTCTGTTCATAAGTGTGATTAAGTAAGCTCATGGCTTTTAACCGGACGATCCGTTCCTACATGCATAACCTGTAATATCATTAGCGTAGTTTGGAATGATGCGATTCATGGAATAAGATAAGAAATGGGAATGATCTCAAGAATGACGAAAAATGAGAAAAAAAAATCATTCTTTAAATAAAATAAAACTGGGATCTTGTAGTACAAAAGTAGTACATGTATCTAGTGGTTACCGCAATGAGCATAATGTGGGGGTCTCGTCACACGCCGTCCGGAGCAACTGGGATAAAACAGCTTGCTGAAGAACAATAATAAAACATTAAACACCCCGGTTAGACATAAAACATCACAGCTTCTATCGACTGAACTCCAATGTCCTACGGTCCCTATATATTATTGTTATTAGAGGTTTACGTCCTCAGAACAGTCAAGTCACGTGAAGATGATGTCAACAAATGATGGTTCCAGTGATGAACGACATCCTCGATACTCCATGGGGTTACGAGCACTTTCACTCTACTTGAACCCCTGGCAAAAAGACAGAAATTCGATTGGTCTAGAACGGGTTTCGGTAGAGAATGAAAAAGACCAATTATAGACTGTAACGCTCCTTTGAAGATTACAAAAGAGCGATATTAAACTTCAAAGCTAGTTTGATGTATATCACAGTATGAACTTAGTCTTATCAACAAGGTGTCGCACACGGCACCTTTAATTTTTGTCATAAAGTGAGCGTAACACCTGGAGTATCGAGGATAATGAACAGTTGTATAGTGTTAACATACTGAAATGCTATAAACTGCTCGGATATGCTAAAAATACACTGCACTTGTTCATATCTTACTCATAACGTGTTAACCACCAGTTCTTGTACAGCATATTTCAATCTGAGCGAGGGGAAGGATTCAAATACGAACTCCGCTTGGCCTTTAATGACTTGTATACCGAACTCATAACCTTCGTCACCTCTCATAGAACAAAAGTAAATTTATATCAAGAGAAACATTACAAAAAAAAAGTAAATATATAAATGTAAAGCTTTAAAACGAGAGGAAGGAAATAAAGTTATTCCAAGTTTAGTTGGCTCTTACAATCATTCTTAGTTCTACCTACAGGGCAGACTTACTACATCACTTTGTAATGAACACGCCCGATCAATTATCAAAGGACAGATTGTGTTAGATTCAATTAAACAGAATTAATGTACTATATGAAATATAACATCGGTGAACAGAATACAACAGACAAGGTAATAGCGGGGTTGTTTGCTCGGGCCTTGCACGACCCCGAGCTTGCGTACCTGTAAATAGGCTACTATTCAACAACTACTAGGATTGTTTATTCAATTAAAGTCGTGAGAAGACGACGTCTTTATTTTCGTAAGTGTAATAAAAAGGTGACAAGAGAGTGGCATTACTTCATAATAAAGTATAATTGTATATCTACTATACAAAAATGTATGAATTATTTAACCTCGACTTAAATGTCTAGTATGACGGGTACTTCATGTCAGGAGAATATTAACAAACACGATTTTCTAAACACGTGATAAATAATTTTCTTTTTAAGATACATATCAGAATACGTTTCGAGACCATCAATGTTTTATGAAACTATATTTAAAAAAAAACTGTTCACGGGTGCCTGCTGAACTGAATGATTATATAAACTGCCATCGTATTGACAGTCAAAACAACCAGACCTCAGGATCACAGGGGAAATGCCACTGTAGACTGAAGGGGAGGATAATATAGGGACTTTAGAACTTAACCACCGGGCTTTAGCTTACAATGTTAACCCATTTGTAATCCTCGATAATCCAGGGGTTACGATCTCTATCGCTCTCTGCACCCCTTGCACATTTTATTGACATAATTGAAGGTGCAATGTGCGACACTTTATGGGAAAAAAGAAAAAAAAACATAGTTTGATACTTTGATCAACACCAAAACGAAGTTCGAGGTCGGATCTTTACAATCTTCAACGGAGCAAGTCTGTAATTGGTAAGTTTTACCCCAATCCTACTTTAGATCAACCAAAGCACTTCGCTTGTGCCTTTAATTTTGCCATGGTATTGTCATGCGGTGCAGAGAACGATAGTAAGCGTAACACCTGGAGTATCCAGGATGGTATTTTTCCTGCAAATGTTGTTTATATCGACAATAAATGTCATAGCAATGCAGTGCAATGCTTCCATTTACATTCCCACACATCATTCTGTAGACTCAACATTGTGCCGACCATATGACCACGTAGGCGGTACAATGTATCAAAGTGACATTGCTATGACTACACTAATGAATTCACAATCTAGGCATATACACTCCTTTTAAAAGATATTCCTTATAGCATTGTCGTGTTAAAACGTGGGTTATGGAATATATTTCATTTGCGTGATATTTTCGTAATATAAGCCTTCCAGACATTAGATATTCTAGATAATACCGAAATGAAAATTGCACCATTATTACCACGCATTATGATGTCCGTACATAATGTTAGCGAAGGTTCATTAACTGTAAATCTCATGTCTAACAGCTGTATTAAGAAGACATGTGAACTCCCATCAACACAAAACAACACACACACACATATATATATATATATATATATATATATATATATATTGTTGTCATAAATGGCGTTATAGCAATATCAGTTGCACCACACGCTTATACCAGTAGTATTGATGAAATGACGTATTACAAGGAACTGTATCAGTGACGTCATTTTATGTGCTGCACTCACGCTATGCCGATAATAATCTAACAGTATTTTAGTGCCACAGTGAAAGACATTACGTCACCGAGTTGCACTTCCTCTCAATAATACATTAGCTTCGCGTCAAATATCATGGTAATCCAGATATTTTTTTTAAATACACGTAAAACAAATGGATGCAAAATAAAAATCAAACGTTATACAGAAGCAGCTGTATTAAGCATAAGCAATGAATGACGTAAGTTAGCGCTCCTTCCTGAAGAACGCCTTACATCACTCGCCAAGGTTACATGAATAACAACGGTAGGTAGAATCACCAGTGGTCTTTATATTAAAATTTCAGAGCATTGATATCCGTTCCTTTATTGAAATCACACTCTTTCATTAACTTATTGAATGGTGATGGTCAAAGGTTCTCTAATACATTGTACGTTTGTGTTGGGGATGATCCGTCGTGCTTTGTTTAATCACTTCCTTCATCGTACTTCACTCAATGATTGATACTCCCGTTTGTCGTTTTAAATAATAAATCATTGCGAGAGTAAGGTCGAGTAAGGTCACCTAGTTTTTTCTCTTTTTTACTTCACTGCCAGGTAAGTGTTGTTTGACAGATGTTTGACATAGACACACCTGTATATCGGAAATCTTCTCTCCCACAATCTCCATTAATTTTCTGTAATTTGTCATTACGA